TTTTTTTTTTTGTAAGTCAGTCCTTTAATTCAGATGATTGAATTATAGACTTTTTAACGCCCAGCAGAAACCCTGCTCGATTGTTTTGAGGTCATGTACCGATTCCTGTTGTCTGTTTTGTAATTTATCCACTGCATCTTCTCCAATGTCCCTCTCCGCAGGTCACCAACGTGTGGTACTCTGTCAATGGCGAGAGGCTGGGCACCTACAATGGACACACAGGAGCTGTGTGGTGTGTCGACTGTGACTGTATCCTTCTCAACAACTTCACTTTTACCTGTTTTATCACAATAATAAACAGTGTATAATGTTTGAGCTCATATTCCAGTGATGCTGTGTCTGTAGCTCTACTAGCTGATGTCATACATGTTTGGTTCCTTGACATTACTTCTCTCAGGGGACACAAAAAATGTTTTGACAGGGTCAGCCGACAACAGCTGTCGACTGTGGGACTGTGAGACCGGTAGGTAAAACTAGCTGCAGGCTTGTGTTGCACAATTTCTCAGCTCAGTTAGATTTCACTTTAGAAAGTTCCGGCAGTAGTTTGAGATCCTACGACCACTTAACCTGCTGTTCCTCCGTCCCACTGTGGTGCACAGGTAAACAGCTGGCCCTGCTCCACACCAACTCTGCTGTCAGGACGTGCGGCTTCGACTTCAGCGGCAACATCATCATGTTCTCCACAGACAAGCAGATGGGTTACCAGTGTTTCCTGAACTTCTTCGACCTGAGGGATCCACAGCAGATCGGTACATGTCACACTGCTCTTAAAACAGATGTTCTCACTCAGCAGTGACTTAAATTATTTCACCTTTAATATAGATCAGACCAGCTCTTATTAGCATTCGTCTTGTGTTACTTTATTAAACATGGATTGTATACAATTTGGATAAAAAAACCTTTGTTCATCACTGCACATCTCCCCTTTGTGTTGTTAGCTGCTGTTTGGTGTTAGCTAATACATGGCTATTTTGAAACATTAGGAGAGATTCTTAGACATTTGTTGATGCAAATCAACATTATGCATTGTCCATCATGTATGTACCTTTACCTAAAGGGTCACTCTATGTCAAATCATGCATCTGTTTAAAAATGATGATCCTCACATGTTTTATTTCTTTGAACAAATGACCTAGTGGCTTGGGAGCCATCAACATAGTGCATTAGTATCTTCCATGTTCCTGATGATGCTCTGTTCAATGACTGCTGTTCAACAACATTGTACTAGTTGGTGATGTCACTTAAGTTAAATAGTGATAGTTTAGCTATGACTGAAAAACCAAAGACCAAACTTTCTGGAGCTATCAGCTGACACTGATTAAAATTTAACCAATTTTAAAATATATGTTTTTGGGAAATTAATTGTTACAATCAATCACAATGCTGTTATTTTTTTATATTATTTAAAAGACATATGACCAGTCAGTCAAAAAGTTCAAATTTCATTTGCCCATATTTCCCTTAATTAGGATCCATGACACATGAAATTTCAGTTCTATAAGTTTCTCATGTGATCAAACCATCATTTCATTAAGATCTGTGATGGTTTTGCCCCAAGGTGTGATGATTTGACATGCAGTGACCCAGTAACACTGCTGGAGAATATATTGATCAGCAGGAATACAGCTGTTCACGTTTGAATAACAAGCAAATCCCTCCATCTCTGCAGAGGACAACCAGCCGTACCTGTCGATACCCTGCAACGATCACAAGATCACCAGTGCTGTGTGGGGGCCTCTGGGAGAGTTCGTCATCGCTGGTCACGAGAACGGAGAGTTCAACCAGTTCAGCGCCAAGGTACTGGTAACATATTGGAATGCAATAATTATTATAAGTACTTAATTTGCCAGAAAATAAGTATTAGTATTTTTCACTGAGTAAGGATGTAAAGCGTATATATGTAAGTGTTGAGGCAAGGGTGACCAGGAAGTCAGGAGAGAGCCATTTTGAAGATTCCACTAGCATGTCCTGATGTCTGTTATTTGTGGACAGTCTGGAGAGATCCTGAAGAAGGCCAAGGAGCACACCAAACAGATCAACGACATCCAGACATCAGTGGACCTCACGATGTTCATCAGTGCCTCAAAAGACAACAGCGCCAAGGTAAGACATCTGTCAACTCTCCAGGCTCACTATGCAGCTGTAATCACACAGTTTAGAATATCTGTTATTGTCGCATATAAAGACAAAACATAATTCCACAAGCATCATTACAATTATAGTTGAAAAATGAAAGTTTTCCTGTGTCATTTCTTTGGGGTACCAGCTCCAGCATTTCAGTCATTTTGTGTGACAAGACACTACACCCAGTGTTTCTTACAGCCTTTACAACTGCTTGTGGAACGAACCCAACTCAGCTTACAAGCTGAACTCGCACAGAAAACTGACTAGTTAATAATAACTACCTTTCAAAACAGCCGTTGCAAAGTGCTTCACAATGAGGACAAATAACAACAAGAAAACAGAACATCAGACACAACAAGCAAAATAATTTTTAAGACTGAGGTGTGCTGTAAAACATTCAACATTTCAAACGTGGCAGGGATGCACCTGTTGGTTACATGAATTGGGGGAAAAAGCATGAAACAGCTGCTGCTAGCACCGCAATCCTCATTTTGTGAATTTATGAACTCTGGTGTATCAAATACATCCAACGAAGCTACTGCAGCTTCGACAACGAAGAAACTCATCCTCATCCAGCTGTCGATGGACGGACAAAACGTAAACTGGAAAGTGTTTGAACTAATACAGAAAGAGATGCAGAAGCAGGTGGACAAATTGCTGATCAACATTGGATCTTAGTGTGAGTTGTATTACTTATGTTTACAACACATTTGCTGTGGAAGTGTTGACAGTTGGTTTCACATCGAGTGACACATGGTTGCACATTCTAGTTTTGAAAGAATTGTTAATAGCACAATTAAGGTGAAAAGGTGTATGAACACTGTTATTTTTGGGTTTAGAGTTAGTTATCTATTATTTGGGTTTCTTTTTTTAAAAGTGAACACAAGGAAATCCA